CAAACAGCTCAGCACTTACAGGTAGCTCGCCACCATGCAACACTCACAGGCAGCTTGCCACCATGCAGCACTCGCAGGCAGCTCGCCACTAGGCAACTCGCCACTAGGCAACTCGCCACTAGGCAGCTCGCCACCATGCAGCCTGGTACCTTACAGACAGCTCGCTTCCTAGTCAGACTAACCACCGCATGACGACCCCGAGGAGCTCACCACCGTACCCCGCATTTTACGGGATTATGACTTGTAACGACTATATTAGCTCACCCACTCCCCGATTCAGGCGGAGATGGGCAACCTTACCGATTGGTGGCTTTATCCCCACCTAACACGAAAGCAGGTCCCATCACAGCGGGAATCCAGGAACTGCTCCACCAAACCCACGAGGACTCCAGTATATAAAGACCTCACCCCCCAGGGGCGAAGGTATGCAAAAAGAGAGAAGGGTGATCTCTGCCCTCTAGCTCTCTCATTCTCTAATATCATTTTCAGCTCACTATTGAGTGTTGACTTAGCCATCAGAGTGTCCCCGCCGGGTAAGACACCCCGGGTTCTCTGATTCAGTTCTTGCAGGCAACCAGTTCCCGTTGTCTACAAAGATGAGCAGATCATCTCCTGCAGGGAGCAGCTAGGTTGCATTACACTAGGGAGCTCCACTTCAGCCCCTGAGTCACCGACCACTTGGGAGCAGACGGGATGACGAGGTACTTAGCCAAAAAAAAATGATACGTGACCAGAAACCGTTACATCACAACTATTTCTCCTCTTAAATTCAAATACAACCATTTCTCTTCTTAAATTCTTATCTTTTATCTCTATCAATCTTAATGTCTCCCAGTTACAAAAATCAAGCGTAAATTGTTGTCTTTAAAGGGTGATCACCAATCTCTACATAATTCACTCAACCTCTCATGGAAAATCTCTATTGATCGAGGATGATTTCCATGTGTCACCCTGAATGGTACAAAATTTATTGCACAGATCTTTTTTGAAAATGGTTGGCCTTTTCAATGGTGAAAGAAATTCAATAGTGGTACAAACTTGAAAGAGACACAGAGTATGATATTTAATAGAAGTAGAAACTTGAAATCACTATATTTCTTTCTTTTTTAGATACAATATTCAATGGAAGTAGAAATTTGAAATTACCGGATTTTCTTTATATAGGCGAACACTTCTCTATTGCAATATCTTGAATTCTTTCTTTTATGATCAAGTTTTCATGAGAAAATGCTTTCACATGATGCCTTTAAGATGCACAACCAATGGGGGGTGGAAGGCATGTGGTTTTCTTTCAATGCAACAGGGGATGGAAGGAATATGGTTATGCATTTCCACCCTTCTTCAAATTAAAACAAGTGCAACCATAAGATATTGTATTTCAATGAATTTCATTACTGAAAAACAACCAGTCAATTAGTCAAATAATAGTAGATGGGTCAACCTTAAAAGAAATAATCTCCCCTACACTCCTTTTTGTTTTCTGTATACTTTTCATTTTCATGCTTGATTGCAGAGCAAGCACACCAAGGAATTATAGATCAAACAAAGCAACAACATATAAATCCTTTTACAACGATAACGAAGGTATGTCTTGCACTTTCATTTTCTGCCTTTGAGTTTTGGCATCAAAAACTAAAAATCTATAACCTATTTTTCAGCAAAGGACTTCCAAATACCAGGAATGTTTCAGAACAAATACAGATCATAAAGTTCAGTTTTTAGGTTATTATTTGAATCGATGTTTGTTAGACCCATTTTAGTGTCGTGGACAAAGAAGATGAGTACTAGGGGTTTGCCATGGCCTATTTACACAAAACCTTCTGTACAAAATGGTTGGGTGTCCCATGCATACATTATATGGGTCCCCTTGTTTCACAATACACATCTATAGTTTTATAATATTATTACTAATCAATATTAAATATTCTCCTTCGTGTCCTTAGACGTTTTGTGCTATATAAATATTAATAAACTATAATCTGGAAGTGATTCTTGCAAATCTCATGATTGTGATAATCAGAATAATGTATCTAATATCTAATATCCAATAACTAGGGTAACCAATCTGCATACCTAATTTAGTTTTAAGTAAATAGTAGCAATTAATCAATATTTGAATTTACTATAATAATAAAGGCCTTCGAAAATAATTAAATTAATAAGTAAATAGTTTATTTTTTTTATCAGTAACTCAGAAAAGGATATATTAAGATAGTAAATAGTGTATTATATTTATATGAAAATTATTACTATAATCTATTTATCATAACAAATATTCACATAACATATAAGTAGAAAGCCCTCAGACTAGAGTGCTTCTATACATACAAATACTCAAAAAAAGAAAAATAAAAAAAGAAATAGGTCATCAATATAAATTAAACCTGATATATTTTACTAATTAAATAAGAAATCAAATTTACCACATAAGTATTAGTGAATCTCAAACCAATAATATATGGTGTGGGATCCATTCTTTTAGATAAAACAGGTTATTAGTTACAAATAAAACCTGATTTTATCTCTTAAGTCAAATAAATAAAACAAAATATGTCAAGAGTAATGGCCCCATACTTGGTACGGTGTCATTCTCTAGTAATCCGAGATTAACAATAAGGGTAAAAGACTTGAACTTAAACATACCCTTAATTTGCACAAATTGACTTAAACATACCCTGAGTTTTTTAAATTGACTAAAATATACCTTATGGTTAGACCCAAAACCAGATTTAAACTACACTCCATTAGCAAAAGTTACATGTCATTTGCATGTATCGTCATCTGACCCCTTTGTTTAGAAAAACCCTAATATGCCCTTGCAATGCCATCAGGGGTTCATCTTCAACAAATCACAGTTTGCTAACGTCCTCATTGTATGTAGGATGTGTTTCTCTGTCCATGTGTTTCTTTTGCTTTGGCCACTTGTGTCGCACTCAGCATTCAGCAATTTCTTGTTGCTCATCTCCGCTCAATTGGTTCACATGCTTTAAAGGAAACCACAAACTCTGATCAATTATACTCTCGTGTGTTTTTCTCCTATCCATGTCATCCTCCAATATTACCAATGAAGCTCCTTCTTCCCCTCTTCCACCTGTAATTGCAACTATGATGTCTTCTTGAATTTCGGGGATGAAGACACCCAAAAGAACTTTACCAATCACCTCTACATGACTTTGGATAAAAAAGGAGTTCATACCTTCAAAGGTGACAAAGAAGTCAGGAGAGAACTAATCCCTCCATAGCTGTTGAAAGCAAGCAATCGAAGGGTCAAGGATTGCACCTCCTCTTAGAACTATGCTTCTTCGTGTTGGTTCCTGGATGAGTTTCCATCCCTAAAACAACACTAATTTCATTATGAAGAATCACAAGAAAACTTTTTTTTCTTATGCTGCATTTGAGAAATCAAAGAAGAGGAAAGTGTTGCTGGCAAGTAACCTTCATTTTTCCCCTCTCTCTGTATTTTATACCTTGGGAAACTTATTATTCCATCTCAAGTTTCCCAAAACCCAAACTAGTTTTTCTCCCACCAGTTCTTTCATTATTGTTTAGTTTTTCTTACACAACTACTAAGAATCCATTGCTAAGGGTAAAAGGAAAATGAAAGTAGAATTTGAAAGCAAATTCCTGAATTGTCCCTTGAACTTTCTATTGTATTTTGATCTGATTCAGTGTGCTTGCAGGGGTTTGATCCGTCAATTTGAACTTCGGGAGAAACCTTGACTTGATCAGTAAATGACCATCTCCATTCATCTCCAAGGCTCCGTTGAGTTCATGTTGTTAACTTTGCTTTTCCTTTCCTTTTTTCCATTCTCCATGTGTTTCAGGACAAGAGTTTGCTTGTATGATTCCTTCTAAGCTTCTGTATTCCAGACCAGAATATTGTGTTTGGTTGAGTTACAGTGAAATATATTTGAAGGAGGTGCTTAGTTTTTTTTTTTTAATCTCTGCTGACTTTGCTAGTATTCCTTTTTGTTTTTTTTTTTTTTAAGAGACTTGTATTCCTTATTTTCTATTATCTGTCTCATAGAATTGTAAAACTTTGGCCATTTTTCTTGTTTTCCCATTTTCTGCTGATTTTGCTTTTTCATTTTCCAGTTTCTAGTTGATGGAAACCCTTGCCCATGAAGGAATAAGACCCCTGCCTCTAGGTGGTCGAATATCCAACTTTCAGCAGTTCTGTCCATGTGAACTCTGTGAGGGAGGAAAAACGATGAACGGTATTTTTAAATACCTTTTGATTTCACATATTAACAAAGGGTAAAAAGTCTTTTTATTATGTCTGTCTGACATACCAGTATGTTTAAGTCCAGTTTGAAACCTCAGGGTATATTTAAGTGAAGTTCCAAAACCTGAGGGTATGGTTAAGTCTTTTACCTAATGATAATTGCCTATTGGCCGACCGGGAGATCAACTTTTTCTCCCAATCGGCAGATATAGGTTTTCTTCTCTTAACCTTGCTACATCTCTCTCTCTCTCTCTCTCTCTCTCTCTCCCTGGTGCGATGTGTACAGGCGGAACTAAACCCTTCTTCACCTTGAATGCTCAATCTATTCTTACACTTAACAAAGTTGCACATTTTGAAGATAAGCTTCCTACAAAGAAAAGATACTAAGGAACATATATATCTGCAATCCAAAGGGAGAAGAAGAATTTCATGCCATAGCGGATAACAAAGAGCAGTCGTTCACCTCATACCTAAACCTAACATGATACAAGATTACAACATTAAGCACGCGTTGAGGATAATAAACACTTGAAAACCGATTGTGCAGAGAGGATTTGTAGTCATATAACATCCCTTTCGAGGTCGATTCTAATGTTTATGGAAAGCAAATAAAGAGCAAAGCTAAATCAAACAACGTCTCTGTCAGTTTGTATGTGATAATTTCAACCGAAATCCTCGGCAAAACAGAAAATTGTCCGTCCAAAATTCGGAAATTGAAGGCATTCGAAGGAAATAATCAATACGGAAGTAAAGTCAGTGTCCGTATCATCCTTACCAAGAATATTGGAGGAGTGAGAGAAGACAGGCCCAAGAATTCTCAAATCTCTGGCGGGGATCGAAACGCGCTTGATGATTGTGTTCTTATCGCACTCCAGGAGCTCAGATTGGCCAAACCGGTCGAAACGCATCCAGAGTCTTGCCCCAACCGTCTTCTTCTTGGCCTTACTGGACGACCCTCCTGCACCGGACGTAGAGACGCCAGCAACAGAATTGTTGCTGTTGTTGAGTGCACGGGGAGAGACGGCATCGACCGGCGGCATCTCAATTGTCTTCTTGGGACGACGCCGGCCAATTTTCCGGGGAAACGAGAAGGGCCGTTTACCCATACTGGAAATGCGTTCGTCTCTCCCTTACTCTCTCCCTCCGATCCTGCCACCGTGGACACTCCCTCTCTTCACTCCCCGCTTGGTCCCTACGCGTGCAGGTAGTGGGAAATCTATGTGGAAAGACATGGAAGGAACGAATCAATGTCGCCCAGGCTTATCTTCTTCATTCAGTGCTCACGATTGACTCTATCTATTTCGTGGGTCGGAGATGGAACTGAGACAGTCTGCTCTGCTGCAATAGTGCGATATCTGCGGTGCTTGTCTGGAAGTTGGGAGTGGGAGCACTGGTTTGTACCGAGTGCAGCATTCCTGCAAGCTAGGAATGCCAGTAAACAAAGAGATCGTCTCTACGACCTCCTGATGGCTGATGCAGCTCTTTGAGTCCATGATGGTAAGTGAGAGCGCCCACCACGTGGGTTTCCCATCCAACGTGGCTAAAGGATAACCGAACGATAACTACTTGATAGATCAGAAACAATAACTTTATTAGTTGGAACCATTAACGTTATACAATAAACCCACATATTATATATTCTTCCCCCACCTATGAGGAGAATTCACTCCCAACTCCCAACTAGTGGGTACCGTGTACGGGCGTTTTTAAAATATTTTAAAGCAAAAGGAGCTAGTGGGTGTAATTTGGGTGGATCCACGCGAGCTTAGTCTTATTCAATTAAAGCTTTTTAACAAATTGGGCTTGAGTGTTAGAACTTTAAGTTGGGCTTGGGATAAAAGGATCAGGCCCAATCTAAATTCAAGTTGGGCTTGACCGCTTTAGTAGCCAGAGCTCAATACAAACCCATCTGAGCCCACCCAATATTTTATGATATACACACACATATATATATATATATATACCTAGAAATTGGGCTTCAAAGCTAAACACGCTCAAGCTCAAGCCTAGCCTGAGATGGTGGGTTAAGATTAGGTTGGCCTAGTTAGTAAAATCGGGCTTAACCATGAGTCGGGCCAACCTCGAGTTCAAAGTTTGAGACTTGGGGTTGGGCTTAGGTTGACCCTTAACCCGAACCAACCCACCGAAGTTGCACCCCTTGAAGGAGCATTCTGACATTCCTAAATGTATTAGTTGTTATTTTTATTAAATTGTTTTTAACTTTTACTAATTTTTTTATTTAGTATTAATTTTTGTTAGTTTAAATGGATTAAGGGATTTTAAATTTGTAATAATTAAGTTTAAAACTAATATTTTTTTTTATCAAAAAATTTGTAGTACAATTTTACTTTTCAAATGAAATTTAAATGAATATCAAATTATAAGATTTACTTTTCAAACTAAAATTTTCTTGTTTTTTGGTTGTTTTATTAATAAACATGCATGTATTAATTTGTATTAACCTTATTTTTCAAGTAAAACTTGTATTATTAAAACTATTAAAATAATTTTTATTAATTCATATTATTTTTATCTATATTTTTATTACATTGTTAGCTTAATTAATTAACTAATTAAATAAGTTTTATAACTAAGTTATAATTAGTTGACTAATTATATAACAATATAAATTTTAATTCTATGATTATTCAATTTATTAACTAAATAATATTTTAAATAACTACATTTTAATTATTTAAAAAACAAAAATTTTAATAATTAAATCATATTTTAAATATTATTAAAATGACATAATTATGTAATAACATTAAAAATTTGATTAAAACACAAAAAAAATAATCATAATAGATTTAATAACTAAATCATATTTCAATAATTATGTATTATTGTTATAATTTATTGATTAATATTTATTAGAGATTAAAATATTGTTGGAGATTACACTATTTATTGATTAATTTAATATATTTTTAGTATTTATTGTATTTTTTTACTTATTATAATTATTGTATTTTCATTAGTTATTTGTTGTGTTTTCAATAATCATGTATTTTCGATATAAATTTTCAATAATTATTAGAGATTAAATATTGTAACTTATTAGAGATTAGACAATTAATTTAATTGAAATTAATTATTGTTATTTTCATATTATAAAAAATATTAATAGTAGTATATAAAACATAATTAATTATTAATTATTTCCTACCTCGCCTCACCTCCCTTCCTCACTCGTCCTCTCCCAAGAGATATTTTGTACTTGTACTTGTCAGCTAGGGACAAGGCCATCAACTCAGTCCTAATCAGAGAAGACGGAGTGCAGAGGCCGATCTACTATGTCAGTAAGGTCCTCTATGATGCCGAGACCCGATATGTCAGTAAGGTCCTTCACCTTGGTGGTCCCAGCTAGGAAGCTTAGGCCATATTTTCAAGCCCACATGATCACGATCCTAACAAATCAACCTCTCAAAGCCGTCCTCACCAAGCCCGAGACTTCGGGACGCCTGACAAAGTGGGCTGTCGAGATCTCTGAGTTCAAGCCTTAACAAATTTTGTAACAGAGTGCACCTTCAACCATGCCCTCCGTCAAGCCCCCAAAAATGAACCCGAAGAAGGACCTCGGCTGGTTGTGGAAGCTCGGTCCACCTAGAAGTTGTTCGTCGATTGATCATCCAACTCTAAAGGAAGTGGAGTCGACCTCATACTTCTCACACTAGACCATTTTGACTTCTCGGCATCCGACAATGAAGCCGAGTACGAAGCTCTCCTCATCGAACTACAACTCACGAAGGACCTCAGCTCACAACACATTGAGGTCTTTATCGACTCTCAATTGGTGGTGAATCAAGTCAACGACGACTACGAAGCAAGGGAACAAAGCATGGCTAAGTACCTCGCCAAAGTACAAGAACTAGCTTACCACTTCCAATATTTCTCCCTATAGCAAGTCTCGCGGTCCAAGAATATGAGAACCGACGCCCTATCTAGGCTGGCGAGCACCTTGGGCGCAGCCCTCGCCCGCACAGTTCGCGTGGAGAAGTTAGCTCGGTCCTCCATTGAAAAAGCTCACGTCCTCCTAGTATAGGTCGAGCTGTTAGCGATGGATCCCATCATCAACTTCCTCTTGACCGAGTAGCTGCCCAACGACAAAAACCAAGCCAAGAAAATCCGATGCCAGGCTGCTCACTACACTTTGCTCGAGGGAAAAGCTGTACTGAAGGTCGTTTACCTTGCCCTACCTCTAGGGGTGGAAACCAGTCGAGCATTTCACGAGCTGCTCGAGCTCCGCTTGGCTCGGTTTCAATCGAGTTCGAGCTTAAGCCCCTGGCTTGGGCTCGAACCGAGCTCGAGCCTTGTCGAATAGTCTCGAGCCGAGCTTGAGCTTGGTACTATTCGGCTCGGCTTGGCTCAAATCCACCCCTACGTACCTCCGATGCCTCCGCCGAGAGGAGGGCGAGTATGTGCACTGAGAGATTCCTAAAGGCATCTATGACAACCACGTCGGAGGCAAAGCCTTGGCCCAAAAAGCACTAAGGCAAGGGTATTTTTGGCCAACTTTTCAGGAGGATGCGGCCAAACTGGTACGAAAATGTGACAAGTGCCAAAGACACTCCAACATCTTCCATCGACCTGTCACAACACTGTCGGCCCTTAGCAGCCCTTGGCCCTTCGCTAAGTGGGCATGGATCTCCTCGGCCCCTTCCCTCACGCAACAGGAAACAGGAAGTACCTCATCATCTCCATCGATTCCTTCACCAAGTGAGTCGAAGTCGAGCCCTTGGCCACCATCATAGCCCGGGTGATTCAAAGTTCCTTCTGGAAGAACATCATTCACCGCTTCGGCCTTCCCCACATGCTTGTCATGGACAGCGGGAAGCAGTTCAACGACGCGAGGTTTCGAGAATGGTGTGCCTCCCTCGGCATCAAACAACAATACACTTCGGTTGGCTACCCTTAGATGAACAGCCTAGCCGAGGTCACCAACCGAACTATCCTATATGGACCAAAGACTAGACTTGATAGAGCAAAAGGCCTATGGGTTGACGAACTAAGCAGCGTCCTATGGGCATACCAGGCAACAGCTTAGACAGTCACAGGAGATACCCCGTTCAACATAACATATGGCATTGAGGCCATCATTCCATTTGAGATCGACCAGCCAACACTTTGAACCAAGGCGTACAATGAGGCTGAGAACAATGAAGAACTCAAAACGAATTTGGACCTATTGGAAAAAACCCGAAAGCAAGCACAAATAAGGCTTACCAGTAGAGAGTATCCCACTACTACAATTCAAGGGTGAAAGAAAGACACTATCGAGAAGGAGACCTCGTCCTCAAAAAAGTCATGGTGCCCGAGCCCAGCGTAGGCAAACTCGGACCCAATTGGGAAGGTCCCTACAAAATCAAGCAAATTATTAGCCCCGACACCTTTCGGCTTGAACATTTAGATGGAAGACCAGTCCTTCGAACATGGAACTCGAAAAATCTCCGAATGTACTACCAATGATTGTGATGGAGGACGATTTGGCCCGACCTCGTAGCACGAGTACACGTGTGCGTGACCTTGCTCAAACGATGACTCAGCGTGACAGTACAACAGGCGCAACCGCAACTCGGGGGGAAGGTCCCACCGAGTTGCACCCGGCAAATTGACAGAATAGACTACTCGCCGGGACCCGCCTGACCTACACCGCCACCCCAGGGGCCAAGGCACCCCGAGCTACCTCCGAGCTCGGGGCCCCCTGACCTTTTCCAATGCCTGAGCTCCTCCTAGTGGGTCTCGGACCACTCCCAGACAGGAACACATCGATCTGCCTATAGATACCCCGAGGTAAAGACACCTCAGGCCAAACAGCTCGGCTTAGCTTGCCACAGGCAACTCGCCGCTTACGAGATAGCCCGGTACAAAGCAACTCGCGGAAGGGTTGCTCGGCATATCGCAGGAGGATCTCCTGCCCGACCACCGTACCCGACAAATCTGGGAACAACAGCCATATTCCTCGTCAGACAGCGTCGTGTCTGCCACCTTCAGAGGGTGCCTTACACCTGACAGGCACGTACACTGTGGCGATGGACCCGCGCGTGCCACCTCAGCCCTGCCAGTAACGGCTGTGGCAGGCTGACAGTAGCGGTTATACCCGCCCTGTCAGAGGCCAGTGGGCCTGATACAACGGATTTCTGTTATAAGGAGCTAGTATCAAGGAACAGAGGTATCATCTTCTACTCCCGCGCTATCTTCACTCTTAGCTCTCATCTTCTCCTTGCTTCTCTTACAGAATACTAACTTAAGCATCGGAGTGTTCCCGCCAGGCAAGCCCCCGGGGATTCTTCTTCTTCTCTATCTCAGGTACCTTCCAGGAGCCACGTAAGTGTCAGCTAGGAGTGACCGGATCGCGCACCATCATTTGACGCCGTCTGTGGGAAACACTTCTAAAAGCCTTCCTCTAAACCTTCACAGTTCTTTCTTCTCTGAAAACTCAGC